CCTCTTTTCCTCTTTTTAAAGATCACTAAACAAACTTGAAGCACCGCTGACCAGCCACACGGTAGCAGCTACGAACCGCATTTGTAAAATGTCAGCGGCGACTCCGTTCCTGAAGTTGACTTCTCCTGCCGCCAAATGAAGGCGAACTGAAAAGGTGGAAATAATCATAGAAATGATGCTAGTCCATAAACAAGCTTACAGCCTCATTAGTATAGCGGGAGGCTCCACTGGGTGATTTATGCTTGTTTTGCTGATGCCATGAGGAAATGCCATAGGGCAACTTTAGCCAGCTGCTAATGGTTTCTGACAGCTTCTTAGCAACTAGCGCAAGCAACGCCGTGGCGTTTGCTAGTGACAGAAACCGAAAATGTCATATTATCTGCCCATGTGTCACAAAGTCCGTGTGGCAATTAACTAGTGGGCCAGTGACTGAGGGGCCAGAGGCTCTGCAGAATGGCCCGTGGCTATTCGGGGGGCAGAGCAGGCTCACCGCTCGCCTTCACGCCGCACATATGCGCGGCCGTACACGCGATGCGCGGCACACTCCCTCCGCCTCGGTCGCCCGTGAGTTCGGTCCACGCGGATCCTTTGTCCGTGGCGAAACTCCGGCTCACGTTCTCTTTAGGCGCGCCGTGACATTATCAGAGGAATGGCCAGTAATCCGTCTTGATATGATGGTTGGAAACGGCACTTTAATTGGCAATACCTGATTCTCTGGTTTGAAGCGCTGGATCCGAAGGTGCTAGCTGTTTTTCTGCTCGCGCGCAAATTAGTCTAAAAGGATTTAAGATCACTGAAGCAGACTCGTTGCCTGTCAAATCGCTGGGAGTGCAGCGACTCTGCACAGCAACTAGATGCTATTTAAAAAAAAAACCAAAACAACAACAACCACCACCAACCCAGAGCCTGTAAGGAGCAGGAGGAGAGCCCGGGCACCGCGTGCTCCTTCCCCAGCGAGCGAAACCACGCGCTATATGTCAAACTGTCAAACCTTTCAGCGTGGCCGTTTGCCCTTTCAAATAATATTTGAGAATTGTTTTTACACAAATTTTTATAGGCCGCGGTCTAGTGAAAGAGGCCAACCAACAAAGAAAGGAATTTGTACTACAATTCGTCCGTGGACGATTTCTTGCTGGACCTGGGCTGATCCCCATGGAGCGAGGCAGGTGACCTGTGGCAGCTCCCCGGCTGTCGGGGAGCTCCGATTTCAAACGTCCTCGACTCCGGCGTCCCAGAGTTGCCTATTTAAGCACACCCAGGCATTTAGGCTGTGCTATCTTGTTCCTTTCAAGACAGGATAAAGCGGCATTTATCGTATTCAGCCCCGCTGAATGGGTCAGGCCGGCCGTGCCAGCGGGGGCTCCTCTCTCTGCATCCCCCTCCCCGTCGCCATCACCTCCTACGACTTCCTTTCGCCTCCTACTCCCCCAAAACTCAGAGGGCAACTGGTTACAGCAGCTTCTCGAGTGGGTAACGCTCTCTCTGTCCCGGATGATCTGTCAGAAACCTTTGTTGGCAAAATAGGTGCTTCTGGAGAGCAACTTGGCACATGCACTCGCCTTCGGGGGCAGCGGCCGTTGCGGGAATTAGGTGGCCAATTCAAAGTCTCCTCCTTCGCTTCTGCCCTGAATCGAAATGAAACGTCACCGCCCTGCGATGCTGGAAAGGCATAGCTAGGCAACTTTAAGCCACCCAGCTCCTAAATCCATCCTCAGACCTCTTAACAGAGAGATTGCTCAGATACAACATAAATAGTCCCGAGCCCAAGCCCGCGCTGTTTCAGAAAGGTTGGAAACTCAGATGTCCAAAGAACGCCAGCCCTTTGCTCGACTAGAAAATCCACGGCTTTGCATGTGGCTCTCGAGACTCACACCCTCAAATGATTTGAAGTGACTTGAAATCTCAATAGCAAAGTACCCAATACAGTTTTTCTACAAGTATCTTCACCAGATGCAACAGGTTATTTCTCACTGCATGTAGCCCTGTACTGGCATCAAATCTGTATTTGGAGCACAAATATTTTTATATCAAAGCAAAATATACTATTCCTAAAAAAAAAACCAGCTTCCCACACCTCTGTCACAAGATCTGAGAGAGGTTTCGGGGTCCACAGTTCAATTTGGTGGGAGGGGGCAAGAGGAGGGCACCAGCTTCGCTGAGGTCCACCAAACCACGTGATGAACACCACCTCCCAGCTTGTACAGCCCACTTCTAGATAAGCATCTAAATCCACCGCTTTAAGGAGCTCATGGAAGAAAATGTGAAAGAAACGTACCCAGAAGCCCTGAGAAAGACCCAGGGCAACTTTTAGGGGCACCCAGGACTGGACGGCTCCATTAACATGGGACTAAATCAGTGTCCTCTAAAAGACTCAACACTCCTTAAGCTGAACTTATT